TAACCTCCGCCTCCGACAGAGGCTTACACTCCATCAGATGCTCGATCTGACGGTCCAGATCCGCGTGAGACGGCATCGTCCTTCCGGGCTCTTCAGATCCGCAATTACAGATCGAAGATTGTGAAGAGACTGGATCGAGAAGCTAGTGATCTCTCCACGCCCCGGGAGAGAGAGAATTGCAATCCCTCGTTGGCTCAATCGGATTGCAGAACCATGGGAATGAATGGCAGCGAATGGTGAGCTAGGTCTCAAACAGGAAATCGAGGAAGAAAGCAGATGGTTGCGAGTGCGGAATCTGGGATCATCTGTGAGCTGGTTCTGAGTTTCTCGAGAAAATTCGTAAAAATCGAAATGGAAATTGAAATCGTATTTATGTGTAGACGAAAATTGAAAGAGGGAAAGGGATTTGCCAGATGGGGAGACCTCCAAAATGAAACTCGAATGCAAATGAAATGCGGGATAGGATAACCACACAACATTCCAATCTTTTTTTTCCTTTTTCAATTTAATTTCTAGTTTATTCCTTGCATTTTTATATTTTATTTTAGTTCATACCGACTTAGCTCCAAATCATGAATTCGAATTCTCTCGTCTTTATTTAGTTAATTTAAAAATTTTTTGGATAACTTTTTTAAATAACTCTCTATATATACACGTAAATAAAAGTTTGAAGTGTTATTTAGATTATTGTTAAACCGTTATTTTAAATTAATAAGATCAAGATATTTTTATGGTAAATTTAAATGCAAAAATAAAAAAGAGACAACCACATCAAATAAAAATATGTGTTTTATAAAAGACGTTTGGTCTGAACTTAATAAAGTAAAGGAGAAAAAAAAATCAAGCTTCTGACATTTAAGAAAAATAAAATAAACTTAATTATAAAATATATAATGTATTTTTTTTTCTTCAAGAGAATATTTATAAATATATATATCAAAAGAAAATTGAGAAATGGGGCTTTATTTTACTTTTTTTAGAAACAATTATTTTACTTTTTTTTCAAAAAAAAAAAATAATCTTACTTCCTTTTCTTTTTAATCATTGTTTCGTCAAAGAGTGGAATATTGGAATGAGAGAAAATTTTTCTTTTCCCGGTGGCTTCGCCGAGTCAAACCTTACAAGATCATGCCACGTGTCCCTCCCCAACCGTTTAATTGGACAATTTTGCGTGATCCCCCGCTGTGTACGATAGCAACGACCACAGCGTAATATTATTGAGAGTTCGGAAATAATAAGTGGAACGTTAAATTACTGTTTTAGTCACCACCGTACTTTCGAGTATTATTTTAAATACAACAAATTTTCAAGTATTTTTTCAAGGACAACAAATTAGGGTTTAGTAATTCAAATAGTAAAATATATAATTATATAATTACGATTTTTTTTTAAGTTCGACAAGATGTAAGGGTGAGGATTCGAACCTCCAACATTTTGATCTAAAATATATATTTTAATTAGTTTAGCTATACTCAAGTTAACATTTAGTTAGATAATTTGTTTTAACATCTAAGCATAAAATAAATTTTTGTCCAAAAGAATGAATGACCCATGAGCAATGAAAATTTCAGTTAACAATAAGTTCATAATTACACAGTTCACTAAATATTGTAGGATGTTTGGGCATCCAATGTTAATGTCAAACAAACATGAGAATCTAAATACTTAAAAGATTCTCACACCAAATCAACTATGTCTAAAAAAATTTGAAATTAATATTTTTTATTTATTTGTTTCTATTTGTGGGTATTTTTGTAAACAAATAAAGTTTGTTCGTGTGTATTAGTTTTATTAGCCGGGTTGAATAATTCTTTCTTTATTAGGGTGTTTTACATTTTGACATTGAATTTGGATACTTTTGATCAACTTTAATTCATACCTAAGTTTGAATATTTTCGTGACGAGATTTTAAAATTTTTATTTGGTTTGATTTATTTTATTTATTCTCTTTATTCTATTTGGCAATGATGCATGAATTTGGCTGCTTCTTGTTTTTAGTGAAGTTGGGATTGTGAAGGGAATAAGGTAGTTGAAAGTCTTGATTTATTTATTGACAATAAAGTAGTTGAAGTATTTGGTCAAAGAAAGTACAAAATGAACAATTCCACCTTTGAATGACGACCAAACGTGACCTGCAACCATTTTTTGCTTGCCTCCATTTATGTCCACCTAAAGTTTCTACTATAATTACATCACTACTATTAAGGATGTAAGTTGGTCGGGTTGAGTCAATTTTCGATCAAACGAAATCAGTTCGTCTAAGTGGAGCATAAAACCAAATCGAGGGTTTTTTTTTTCCCTCTTTCTTCTTTCTTTCTTTCTCAGTCTAGGGTTTCTATATATTTTACACTAAGATACTACTAGCTCCTCCCAATCATCTCTTGTATTGTATTGGAGGCGAATCATTAACTACCCCACATGTCAATATTAGAGTACCTTGAAGTCGTTGTTCACCCAAGTAAAGGGAAAAACTAAATGCAACTCATCATTCAGGAATTTTATTGGCAGCTCGACATGGGATGCCAAGCTGATTAAACCATATCACCCATCTCGACTGACCTTCTTAAAGGACGAGCCGACCTATAAGAGTAGCTGTAGGTGCAAACCTCTTAACACAATCTCAGACAACAAGCTGCTGTCAGAGGTCATGTACGTAGCTCGTCTCTATAAATAGGGAGTCTTGCCTCGCTTTCAAGTACGCGAAACTATTATCTCTCGAGTAATAGATTAGATAAGTACTAACTTGAGTGTGGGAGTTGTTACTTTCTTTTGTAGGTCCCTCAATTTGTTAGTTCAAGCTTTGCTACAGACTTGATCATTTTCTTGATCAAACATATTGAAATGGAGGAGATATCCTATTCCAATATACTAATTGAACATCTATGACACACTAAGAGTTTTTTCCTTCATTATTATTTCACCCAACAAAAGAAAAAAAAGAAAAGCACCTACATTTGTAATATAGAGCCAAACCCACCTAGTAAAAAATATATTCAACTTCAAGGTCGTCATTGCTTCCTATGCCAAGAGAAAGACACGTATGGTGGTCGTCGTTGTCGCCTATGTTGAGTAAGAGTGATGCCTGATGTGCTCGTTGTTGTTTGTGGGTTTAGGTCGCTCCTACTGTGGTGAGTTTGGGTCGTCGCCACCACTTTTATGGAGAGATTAGATAGATAAAGAGAGGGAGGGGGAAGGAGAACACATAGAGAAAAGGGGGGAGGGAGAAGGCCCTTGCGAAAGTAAGAGGGAGGGAGAGATACAGTGCACAATAGCGAGGTAGGGCAAAGTAAAACAAAACAAACTTTTGTTGGGTTAAAACCGACCTAACCTTACCACTTTCACATCGAAATTGAATTGACTCAAACTAGTCCAGGTTTTATCAGTTTTGGGGTTGGGTCAATTCCTTACACCCTTAACTCTATACAAAAGGAAATATTGAATTAAGGTTACTCCTCAATTTTTTTATTAGACAAAAGATGTCAGTTAAGTTGTATTTTAAAATTTTGCTTGGAAATATGTTCAATTAGATATCTAAAAGATAAAGAGTGATACTCTAAACAAGTTAGAAATAAGCACTTTACCTGTTTATGAATCTTGCCTTTCATGTTAGATTATCAAAATCTTTTTATTGGAAAAAGCTACTTCACATCTCCTTTCAGATGATTATTTTAGGTCTAAGTATTTTTTCCTAATTCAGCATAAGTCTAAAAACACTTGAAAAGTTCCAGAAGTATAATATTAAAGTTGAGAACCAATTAGGTAAGTTTGTTACTACAATACGATCCGATCGTGGTATTTATGAACGTAACATACTAAGACTAATTGATAGAAAAGAGAAATATATCCCAACTCCAAGCACCAAATACAATTGTGTAAAAAAATGTGTTGTAAAAGGAGAAACGTGACCTTGTTAGACATAATGAGTCACACACTATTAAAAAACTTTGGTTCGATGATTCCTTCCAAAAGTGTGTTAATTAAGGACAATTTTGGGATTATTGAAGAGCAATAAAGCTAGTTTATAACACTTCAAGATTTGAGAATGTTAAACCTTCATGCTAAAGACTAGGAGTGTTCACGAGTTGGGTTAGGATGATTTTTTGGACCAACCCAAATTTTCGGGGTTGGCCATATATGGGAACTGATGAGCCCAAATTCAATACCCAACCCAACCCAAAATTTTCAGGTTGGGTTGTCAGATTGCATTAATATTTTTTTTTAACCTGGACTAAAAAAAGTTACTGAAAAATTGAAATTTTAACGAGCTAAAAGATTGAAGAAGAAGAAAGTCAAGTAGAACTAACATTTGTTTAACCCCATTTATGCATCAAACAACAAATTAAAAACACAGAATCGGTTGATAGAGAACACAAAACAAGTAGAAATTGAGGAAAACTATGAGATAAAACTCAAGAACAAACGAGGGGCAAGAGATTAATAGGTGTTCTAGTAGGATTTGAGAAGAATAAAGCAAAGAGACAAATGATAATGGGTCATGTACAAGTCTGTAGGGTTGTTCACAGGACCTACTGCTACAAGTCAGTGACAGACGGATGTGCTTTAGGGTGGTTGTGAGCTCACGGTGGTGATGAGGCTACTGGCATATCTGCTTCACTGGCAACGAGCTCACGGTGGCGACGAAGCTACATGCGGATAGATTTTCACGGTGGAGTGAAGCTATGGGTGGATCTACACGGCGACGCGAGGGTACAGTCGAATGGAGGATATGGTTCCTTCATGGCAGGCGACGATTCAAGAGGAATTAGGAGGAGAAAATTGAAGATTAGGGAAGAAAATGGATAAAAGAAGAGGAGTGAGTAAGAGTGAGATGAAAATGTAACAAAATGAACATGAAAACATTAATATGAAATAAAAGGCTAGGATTAAAACAAAATGGAAGGTTGAGATTGAAAGTAGGATATCATTATATTATATATTTATCTTTTCTAAGTAGTTGCTAGCTGCTGTCTAATAACAGAAGGACAAACCATCATTAGTTAATTTAATTTTTAGAGTATATTGTTTCCAGAAAGCAAATTATAATATAATTCATTTTATTTTTCTACCCACGTAGCAATGAAGTAGCACCTTTTATATAACTAATTATACTTGACTTTGACAATTTAAATGCATTCGAGAAAAAGAGTAGTATAGAATTCACAAACATTTATAATAATGAGAATTCTTTGAGTTTCTCCTAAAATTTTTCTGATTTCTTCATGTCTTATTGTCATTGATGAAGAAACTGTTGGGGTTGCAAAGTGTGCAAACAAAGTCCCTCATTGGTTAGGGAAGAGAGTGATCAATGACATACAAGGAGAATAATTATCTCCAATGGTTTGAGGCCTTTTTGGTGAAACCAAAAGTAAAGCTGTGAGGATTATGGCCAAAGCGGACAATATGATACCATTGTGGAGATACTTGGGTGTATGAGGGTACCATTATCCTTAATAA